TCATTGTAATAGAAGCTGAAGTTAGCTTCCAGCTAAAATGGGCCAGTTTTGATAGTTTCATATGCTTATTGATGTCCCGTGAGGCTGAAATCAAGTTTATAAATGACGCGTGACCAATGAAGGTTTGATGTTATAGCGGTGCATATGGTGCCTTCTTTCCCGAGCTCAATTGTGTTTAGTTCTTTGCAATAAACTCTTTACTATAAGGAACAAGTCTGCTCTGGGAAAAAGTAAATGTTCTGAAATGACCTTTCAAGCTTTAATACCCACCATTCTGTGAATAAAAATACTCACTCTTTTCCCGGAGGATTGACATAATTCAAGGTTTTTGCCTTAAGAAATATCCACTGACACACACAAAAAAACCCCTAGAATGAGGTTTTATAGTTTTCTCATTTGATAACTTCTGTATAAAACAAAAGAAGAAGGAGAGTTGTAGCAGCCTACAGTGTTCATAAAGGATTGCATATGACTCTTTAAACTATAAATCATGAAAAATAGATGAAGATCCCACTGCATGCAAAATTCATTTCCATTTGAGAAAAAGTTGGGTTATGAAAGAGAAACTGAGTATTATTACACTGGGTAAGGGTTGCTGCATTTTTCAAGAAGAAAGACTTATGATTTTCATAACCGTTTAGTTGGTGCCAGGCTACTCAAGATGAAGGTGGTCTTCCCCCTAAATTATACACGTATTTGTGCCTTCATTTTAGATAATATAACTGTGGCCTGATTTTTAGAACTGTCGAGACTGAACGGGACCATTTTGAAATCCCTCGATGCTGCCAGTTGTCATTGCTTTGAAAATTAAGTCTTGCATTTCTTATGGCAGGACTAGTTCAGAAAGAGAAAAAGATCTTCCCTGGAGACATCCCTGCTTTGAAATGAGCCTATTCTCTGTCCATCAAAGGAAATCTGTTAGGGAAGGGCAGCAGAATGGGCTGCCTAGACAGTTTTTGTAGAGAATGGAAACCCATTCCCTATGAAAAATTAAAAAAACCATAGTAATGCAATGTAGGACGCCAAATGTCAATGCTGTGGAGCCAGAGTGTAAGCTGGCTAATTGTTAAAGAGCAACTTTTCTCCCTGAAAACGTTTTTCTGCCTGAAGCTGTTGGGAAGAGGCGTAGTGAATGACGCAGCAAATTGTTTGAGTTTTCCACGGATGTTGCCTCGTCTTTATTCCCTGCTTTTAGACATAACTTTATTCCTGGATATCAGTCCAAGTGGCGCAGCGTCCATCACCTCCCACAGGCCACCGCAGTCACTGTGCTCTGAGTACATTGTCATAGAACATTTACCTTCCCTAGCCAGGTATTTCTTCTCTCCTATATTTCTACTTGCTTTCGTGAAAGAAACGATAGTTTTTTAATTAATAGCATGTCTTAGTGTTTGCTTCTTAGAATCTTTATTTGTCCTTATTCCCCCTCTCCCCTCTGCATGCATACGTGTGCAGCTGAATGCATATTTTCCATCCACTCCCTAGAACCGTGCGTTCAAACTGGGGTTCATCTCGGCTAACTTCGCCTTTAAATTTAGTCTTACTTAGCACTCCTGTCCTGAAGAGATAAGCACCTCCAGAAAGTGATGCACCCCACTTGCTGAAGGCATTTGTCCCAAGGTGTGCTGCCTCTCCATCCACAGGCTGACTCGCAGGCTCGGTCTTTTTTGGCGACTTGACTACCTTCATCTAGACGCCTGGTTTTCACATGGCTCGGATTAGGAAAGTTGAGTTCTTCCCTTCTATTCTCCTTTGTTTGTCTTTAGTCTGAGCATTCAGAAGAGTGTTGACCATTCCTATCATTTTATCTTTATCTGTAGAACAGCAGCATCTATCACGTCCAATACAGCTTCCGTTGAGTTCCTTTGGTTTGAGGTTTTACTGATACGCCTCAACTGAGGTTTGTTTCTGCTACGTGCTGTGCATAAATAAAACAAGAACAAGGAAGAGCTTAAAGAGAGGAATGACTAAGTGAAAGAAGATGGAAGAGTTAGATCTCAGAGTCCAGCAAAGACACAGAGATTGAGTGAATTGTCCAGAATGATGAAGCAGAAGTGGAAAATTAGTCGAGATTTATTTACTCCCACTTCAGTGCCCCAAGCTCAAGGCAAGCTTCTTTTTTCTCCCAGATGCCGCACTATATTAAGCTTAGAAGAGATACATAATTAAGCTGAAGAGATAGGAGATATGTATTAAGCTTAAGAGATAATAATTTGCCTTTCCCCTCCTATTTTACTTACTGTTGTTGAACTAGTAACTTTTCCCTTGAGTATACTACAAAATCATCGGTGGGTGTATGTGCATCCTTGACATAATTTGAACAAACGACTCACAGAGTGCCATAATTACACAGAAATTAAGGTTTTGGAAGGATAGAGACAAGCCATTTAGTTAACTGTAACTTCACACAGATTAAAAAATAAAAAAGAGTAAAAAAAAAAAAGAGCTGAGTAGCCAATTATTAATAGACTTTTGAAAGTCTCAACTTCAAGGTATTTTATTTACTCCGTTACTTTGCAAAACAGCCTTTAGCAAAATACTTCAGTTATTAATATGAATATTACGTTCTTTTCCTCTTTAATTTGAACATGCAGGAACTGTAAATGAAAACGATATTTTCTTCAGAGAGTAAAACACAGGAGCAATCTTAAGCAAACTGGCAGTCTTCTAATAGAGCAAAATTCTATTCCCAGAGACCTCTCAAAAAGATTTCAATTAGATGTTAAATTAGACACCTGAAATTCACGTATTTCTCTCAGCTCCTTAGGCAAAAATAACAAGATAATAACTTGATCAGCTCAGAGGATTCGGTGTTCTATTGCAAAATGTCTTCCTTTTGAAAGAGATCAAAATTGCAGCCTGCTGTATAAAAATTTTAGATTGCTTGTCTGTGTGGAAGGTTCACTGACTGCTTAGGAGAAGAAGCAAAAAAAAAGGAATCTCTACTGCTTTGGGTACTCATTTGAGTAATGAAGAATGCTGATGAATATGCAATGTGAATGAACTTTTCAGTGTGCAAGGGGCAGGTAACAGTAAAATTGTTAACAGCGAAGTCAAGTATGTTCTACTTTGGCTTCTCATTTCAGCTAGCATTTTGGGGGCAAGGTTGGGTTTTTTTTAAAAACAAAAGTTCTTCCAGTTTTTCTCTGCGTCTATGTCAAATGTTCCTGGAATGACATGAAGGTCAACGCAAGGGCACAGGGGGTGTGTATATACTTTCCATAACTATGTGGGCAGAGGAAGAACAGGTTCGTTTTTGTAGAATTCGTAGGAAGATGTACTGTAATTTAAACTCTTCTTAGCTGAGCTACCTGTAGGTGTGGTAACAAATATCGTTGCAGCCAGACTGACTGAAAAATATTTGCGCGTTGCATCGTGTTTTAGAAGAGTGCTTCTGATGAACCCCGGTTGCTTGTGCCAGTTGTTACCTAGTTGTTTCTACCCTTACTGGCATGGAATTTCAGGAGGCTTTTCCTATGGAAAAGATGAAAGGAGCCTCAATGACCTCAGCTTTAATGGGAAAGAGAGCCTGTGTGCAGGCTTTGTCTCATGTAAACATTTCCTGAATGTGTAATATATAAAAGTTGATGTTGGTTTACCTGGAAGAGTCTAGATGATCTTTTGAGGTCCCTTCCAATCCCTAGCATGCTGTGATACTGTGATATAAACATAAGCAAGATAATCTTTGCATGAAGAATGAATACCATTTCCTAGACAAACTCTGTCTCCACAGCTTGTTTTTCTCCTTTATAAATGCCCGTGGTCTGCCGGTCTGCATCTAGGATGATTTCTATGCTCCAGCATTGGTTGAAGCCAAAGTAAGCCAGGTCCTTAGAACATTAAGCAATGCAGATGATTAATAGAATTACACAAAACCAGAAAAAATATTTCCCGATCAATCAGGCAGTATTGCAGTTTATTAATAAGTGATGGAGATACTTGTAAGATACTCGCCACCACGTCTGTCAGGTGTCCAGCCACGGGACAGGAATCCAGCTGCCACTTCTCTGACTTATTAGATGGCGTTAACTGTGCCCACGCAGCTTCGTACAAAGTGTCGCCAGAAATTGTGTGGGATACCGCGCCTTCGAAACTGAGCAGTGACCATAAGCTGCTGAGTGTTCTTCCTTTCAGCAAAACTAATAAGTATATTCTTAACTTCTAAGAAGCCAGTAGTCACTGGCTTCAATGAGGAGTCATCAGAAGGCTGAAAAAATAAGCATGTTGTTAAGTGTTTGGCTGATTTGCTACTGAAGTACTTAAATCTTTGAAACACTATTTGCCGTGGTTGAAATTTCTAGACGTGTCAGGTTAACTCTTCGAAGGATAGAAAGCACTCGTGTATAGTTTGGGTAGCGAGGATGTGTCTCCTGTGTAGCTCTGGAATGAATTTTGTATAACTGCTTACCTTTTGTGTCACGGCCCCCCGCAGTCTCTTAGCAGCGCGCGACCTGCCGTACTTACTTGCTTCCATTATTTTATTTTATAGGCAGAGAGTTTATTCTAAGATATTTCCGCGAGAAGCAAGACAGAAATGCCAACACTAGGCCAACAAGGCAAATATTGGCAAACGCAGTACGGCTTGATGTTCATCACGCAAGAAATCCAAAGCAGCCAACTGCATATCTCTGAGCCAGTGGAAAGGAATTATTAAGAGTCTGAAAATTGATTATGTGTCATTTTGCTCATTCCGGGCATTTCCTTTGCTGCAGCCGCGTGTTACATTAGTCTCAGGTGCATATACACTGAAGCTTTTTGTGGGACTAGCCCAGATTGTAAGGGTATGGAATCTGTCTTTGAAATTTAATACAGCTGTACATAACTTGTCCACATCCCCGCAGCCCTGCTGCTACAAGTGACAGGAATGCAATAGACATGTGGAAGGGAGGTTTTCAGATGCCCTGCCTTGAGCGAAATTAGCTAATGATATTCATTCGGATACAGTACGGTACAAATGGGGCACATTAAATGGCTTAAATTAGGTCAGATTGAATAATTGAATTTATTCTTTTACTTAAAAAGAGCTTAATCAGCTGAGAGTGCTAGAGTCAGAAAAAATAGTTTAATTAAATATTAATTAGAAGTTTATATTTTGTGCTCCCTGATCATCACTTGCAGCAATATTATTTATGTATCTGTTTTTCCTCGTTACAGCTACTGGGGGACGATGTTCAACCATTCTCACTTGATGAAGAATTTGATTACGACAATGTGGCACTGACCCCTAAGTTCTCCGAAGCTGAGCTGAAGGCCCTTTTGGAGTTGTCTGAAGAGAAGGAAACAGGAACAGATGTCAAGTCAGCATGAGCTGAAGACTGAGTCAAAGGCATTCTGTGCAGTGCTGTTGAAATGACATTTTTAGGAGGGTAAATCTAACTTTAGTTTGTACCGTTGTTTAGTTTTTTTTATCTGTGTGGCCAGTAAATGACATCCCCGAGATTTTTTGCGTTTGTTCTCCCAGGGTGCCTTGGAGCCTGGGGTTGACTTTCAGGGTACCTCTTGCTAGCCCTAATGAAAACACCGCACAGGAAGATGCCCAGAGTTGCTTGTATAGTAGCCCTTCAGCCAGAGAGCAATATTGTTTGGTTTTTTCTCTGCCTTTTGAGTTACTTCAGCTCTGCAAAGAAATAAATATTCCTGTTTTCCAGTAAACTTTTTGAGTTGATGAGAACCTTAACATTTAAGACATGAACTGCTACAAAAAGCCTTCCTCACAGAGGAACAGAGAGTGATCTCCACTGAAGGAACTGGCGTTGCAAGGCTGTCAGAGTTGACATTTTTTTTTGCAGATGTTTCCAAATACGAGCTTGCAGTTTACACTCAGCATCACTGAAGTACAGCAAACTTTGGAGCTGAGTAAAAGCCAGAACGCATGGGTGGGGTGGGAGAGAAGAGTGGGCCTCTCTGACGCAAGGTAGGAGGCACTCTTGCTGGGAGGTGTTTAGAATTCATTTTTCTCAGTTTGCTGCAGAAGCTTTGCTGTGGAGGCTTGTTTTAACATCACAACACTGATCTGTATTATCGGTCGTTTCCTGCTATAACGGCAAGAGCTGAAGTTTATTGACCAACGTTTTGTCCTTGGCCTATCTCCATTATTTCTGAAGTGGGTGATTACCGTGATGGATTTGGGAAGAGTGCCTGAGCGGGCAGGCGAGAGACCAAACCACAAGTTGTTTAAAGGCTCTGGATGAAATCCCTGCGGCCAGTTGGCTGCTCTGTTGTCAGCAATTTATAAAAGCAAAGAAAGGTGTTTAGCTGCTCCAAAGGAAATTTTCCGGATCGGTAATTTTGTAGGTCCTAATCACAGACCACTGAAAGCTGAATAGCGTTGGTTTTGAGGAATGGTGTTTACCTTGATTAGGGGCGTATAATTTAAGGGTGAGATTAACAAAGGAAAGAAAATACTCTCAGACAAGATGCTTAGGGAGAGTGATACAAAACTAGAGGTATGTTGTATGGAAAGTACTGGTCTGTATAGGACCTTGCTGGTAGAAAGTAATGAGAAATTTATTTTTAACATCTACACTCAAAAGGATGCCTGTGCTGTAGTTAAAACAGGTTTTTATGCAATTGTGTGAATAGCAGATTCTGCTGTTCTTTGGGAAACTTTTATTTTTTCTTTTAAAAAATGTGAATTCATTTGAATTCAATGAATTGTTTCGTTGAACCAAAGATATTTTGAATTAAACGCTTCGGATCCAACTGGAATTTTCCAGTGAAACATTCAGCAAAAAATTGCCGAGCAGATATTAATTCATCTTCTTCTGGGAGACACGGATAATGTGTGTAAATGGGAGGGATCAGAAGAAAGTTCTGGAAGAGCTCCATGAGCAAATCTGGGAGGAAGAAATTGAGAACTGCTGTACAAAGACAGCAAGGACAGCCTTTAAAAGTCTTGACAGAAGACTTTTGCAGACAAAGAATCAACCATAAGTAAAGGTGGGCTTTTATGGGCTTGGGGAATGATGAGCTTGGCAGTTTTTTTGTGTTTTATTTTTTTTGGAAGGTCCGAGTCATGTGGAGTGTAGCTCAGCCCTGTCAGAATCCTGTTGCCAGTAGAGCCAGTGAGAAAACTTGTCCATGGGTTCACAATGATCTTCAGGCTAAATCAGCTCTGGAATCTCTAAGTGCCTTTTCAATTCATTTCATTATCAATTTTTCCCTGTGCATTAGGGATACATCGAGCCATTCAATTCCTTCTCTCCCAGGCAGATGATTCTCTTACCAAATGTTCAGAGTACCTATTATGCTCCGTAAGTGTCATTCAGTATAGTCATTACATGGTTTCGTTTGATATAAAGAAACACTTCGCTGCGGAATACCCCGCAAAATTGGAACTCTTTAGCGACATCCATCTTATAGAGAAATGGGGATAATTCGCTTACATTTACACCACTCAGGAGTTAGATTTCTGCTCTTTGTTAACGGAGATGAATATCACGGTGGAGATTAGGCAGTGCAGGCTACATTTTCTGAACGTGACATTTTATTGGCCTGCCCTCGTGGTTGTTTTTGGCTGGTACCTTTCATTTGATTATCCTTCGCAGAGGAGGCATATTTTCCTCTTCTCCATTACCAGGTTGTCATTTTTAAGAACATACTTTATGTGCATGTTAAATTTTATACATGTAAATGGAGTTAGTTACCTGGAATTGTTTCAGTGTTTGTGAGGTGCTTTGGAGTCTGAATAATATATATCTTTTCCTCTTGTAGCTTGTATTCTCTTTAATATTTAATATTTTCAGCAGAGCTGAGGGACATTCTTCTTTTCTATTTATGGTCTTTTCTGAGCATTTTTCCAGTTTTCTCAAAGAATTAAAGGCAAATCTCAGGCATGGAACAGGAAACTTGGAGTGCTACTTGGAATCTACTTAGAGGCTGCTGCAGAAAGGACTATGATTCTCTCCCCACCACACTGACAAGGCTTTTGAGCATCTCCGATGTTGGGTGAACCCGTCTGTGGTGAATCTCTCTAATCCCTTCATGTTCATGACTTTGTTGGTGCGTTAGAGAGATGCATCCGTATCGGTCAGTGAGCTTATCTGTATTAAATTTGTTGCTTGTTTGGGCGTTACTACATGAACACTGACTGCGTAAGTCATTTGCAGAGATAATCGTTGTGAGAAAATAAGATAAAAATCGAAGAAATGAAAAAAAGACGCAGCCAAATCTGTCTGACTTGGCCATTGTTATGGCTCTAAATATATTTCTGTTAATGCACAACGGTGTCATTCTATACAGCTGTATACGCACAGCGCCACTGAAAAGAAATAATTTTAGTGTGGAGAGTGCTCAGCAGATAATTCAGAACCTTTTGAAGAAGGTGGCATGGAAACAAATCCTTGCTCTTATGAAAGAGACCCTTTGATCCTCTGGCCTTGATTTCCTGCTGCTGTAAACTGGCAGAACTCCACCGAGGCCATTTGTATTCATACAGAGCAGACAGGACCCTGGTATTTACAGTCTTAGCTGGAAGGATACTGAGCCAAATCAATTCCCGATTCAACTTTACTGTAAATATATCTATGTATGTGACCCCTCAGCATTATGGAAAAATATTGAAATGCAGAGCCAGATGCAAATGAAATGTAAAAACATATCTTTAACTGTTCAGTTACTAATTTTACACGGGTCATGTCTGAGTTTCTGTAGTAATGTGTGCTTAGAACATTGCTTTTTGCTTTAACAAAATTATCACATACGTTTTCGAGTCCTATTCAAATCATGAAACTTGTTTACATGCATAACTACTAAGGATTCCGACCTCCTTTCAAGTTGTTTTCTTCCCCCTCTGCATCTTGGCAAGGACTGGAAGTGGACTTTGCTTTGTCTTGGAATTATTTTAAAAGGATTCGCCATCCTTTGTGAAAACACAGACTTCCTTATAAATGTGAGCTCTTCTCTGTAATGCAACAGTAAGAGCAGAACTAAAAGCAGGAGCAAATTCCTGGTTATTCAGCAACTTCACGTACACCGTGATGTGGCTGAAGACCGGGACAGCAGCCTGGTTTGTGTCCTGTTGTCATCACAGAATCATAGGAACAATGAGTTGGGCTGGAAGGAACCTTTACAGGTCACCTCATCCAACCCCCTGCAGGGAGCAGGGACATCTTGAACTCGATCAGGTTGCTCAGAGCCCCATCAAGCCTGACTTTGTCCTCTGCCTTCTCTTTTGTTTGGGAGTCTTGGGGATAGCTTGGTCCTACCTGGGTGCAAGTTCTTGCAGCCCGGCAAACGGAGTGGAAGGCAGTTGGGTTCTGCTGGCCAGGTAAGCTAAACCACCAGTCTCCTAACGGGGCTCCACGTGCTGAATAACCTGGCTGGGCTCTGCTCAAATCTGCGTTGCAACCGTTGGGAGCGCGATCCCCCTGAAGACACGTGGTGGAAAAGCGATGACTGGCAAAGGGGTCGGGGCAGTGTTAGACCCCCCTGACTTCGTGGGGCCGTGCTGAACAGGAGACTTGTCACCCTTCCTCACAGGCTGCGCTTCAGCCTTGGGCACGTTCAGAAAAAAGTGGGGAAACCCGTGGTAAAGGGTTCTTGCTGCCTTCGTGAGGCGAACTCTGAGCGCTTGCGGCCGCGAAGGGCATTCCCACTGCCGGGTGCTTTCTTGTGGCGAGGTGTCAGTTGGCGCAGGTGGGTGTGAGGGGCCACGTGTTGTCCTGGGCTCCTCTTGGAAGGATGTGCCCCCTTCACCGAAAGACTTTCGCTGGTGTCGGGGCGCGTGGTGTTCCCCCAGGTGCTAGATGTCTGCCCATCCCTGGGGAAAACAAGGCAGCTGGTTTTCTCTGAAACGGTGTGAAGTTGTAGAACATCCTGAGGGGTGATGGGGTTGTTGAATTTGCGATCTCTGGCTGTCGGAGGTGACACCTTGTGTTTTGCTGGCAAGGTAGGGTGAGCCAGTGATGCAGGTGTAGGAGCTGTGAAATGCTGCAGAGTTAAGACTGGGGGTAGTTTTAATGCTTGTTTATGACAGGTTTGCAAGGAGAAAAGCAAGTGTTAAAAGGCACTCTTATTTTTATAGGCAGGCAACTTTATTTGCAATTGCAGAGCTCCACAGTTAAAATGGAAATCAATTTTAATGCCTTAGGAAAATGCGGAAATATTTGTCTCGTTTACAGCACTTCCAAAAAGGACAGATAATAAAATTCCCCTGATTAACGATCTATAATTTTATGTGCTCTGTGGTGTCTTGTTCAGTACATCCATCCGCATAAACGTTTCAAAATAATAAGCAAAGATAGAGCTGAGCAAACTCACTAAATCTAACTTCACTCTGAAATTCAGGTTATAGAAACTCTCTCTAT